ATCCCTAGCTCAGATTTTTACCCAGAAGGAAAAGCAGGCTGTACAAACAAGTTTCTCATTTCTTCCAGAAGGACCTCACTTCGTTTGCAACAAAGCAAAGTGAAGGTCAAGGCTCAGGGCACTCACAAGAATAGTGGAGACTGCAATGAAGGGGAAATGAGACGAGTCCATGTAATGAATGAAGGTACGGTTGGATGCCAGGAAGCTTACAGGAACAAGTCAAGGAGTAAGACAGCTGAGAGGATCCTTCTGCAATCAGAATAAATACCAAACACGGACTTTATAACCTCTTCCTTCAAGGTTGCCACAATTTGATCAGGGCACAATTTATGCCCTGGGACACTGCTGAATACAATAGAATCAGGTGGCAGTTAGTAGAATTCAACAGTTGGAGGTGGTCATGAAAAGAGAGCCCTACCAAAGAGTCAGTCTAACCATTTAGCTTGTGAATACGCAGCTAATGGGGGACAGGACCTAAGATGGGGTTGGGCTGTTCAGCCTTGTAAGAAAACAGCAGGTACATGGGGTAAAAGGAGACCATTAAGCTCAGGAAAGTAAAAACAAACACAAGGAAGTGACCAACACAGCTGATTCCTTTTTCCCTTTTACTTTGTTCTAATGACACAGCAAGATTCCTAACTGAACAGAGTATGTGATCAGTGTATGGCCACTGCATGCTCTGTTTCTCTATAGGTCACATCGCAGCAGGGACAGTCCGTATCTAAATTCTATAGGCTAAGTCCACCTTGACCTGTTATGGCCAGAGACTGGACCACTTAGATATTAAAAACCCTAGACAAAGAGCACACTTGGCGACCCTTTTCAGGACCTGTTCTATTGGGAGCTTACCCTCCTCTTATACTTCCAATAAACACACCTCTGACCCCTTTGTTCATAATTTCATTCTTCGACTTTGTGAAACACCAACACAGTTTGGACAGTAACACTACCAATAGTACTGTGATCTAAAATGTCTGCAGAAATGCCCAGAGGGCAACTTTAAGGAACATCACAAATTTAATGCTGGGCCAAGAGGGAGAGAAGAGTAGACATCACTAATACAATCTAGTCAGTAACTAAAAAATAAGCAAATAATAATAATAATCAGAACCCAAGGGAACCACTATCCAAGTTGCTATTTACTGCACTGCCAACTGTATAAAATCATAGCAAAAACTGCCAAATGACACTTTCTTCAGAATGTATCCAAGATCTCATAACACATAGGGTGAGTGTGGTGGTGGGGAGGTGTTCACCAAATGGGGAAAGAGATGTACCAAAGTGACACATTTTTACACATTACTGAAAGGTAGTATACAACTACAGCTGATTCAGATAAAAGTTAAAAGATATACAGCAAACCCTAGAACAACCTTATATATACAAACATAAAACTATAAAGATATTCCTCACTTAATGACCCACCTGTTTAATGACTGTTTGGACTTATGACCAAGGCACATTTTCAGACTTATGACCCACCACTTGGACTTACAAACTTTTGGGGAGGTACCCTTCCATACATGTTTATGGAGCCTCAATATATTTTTTCATGTACAGTACACTGTTTATACAGTACTATAATTTTTGCTGGTTGTATTGTTCAGTACAGTACTGATTTTTATGTTTTTACCCATTACAGTACTGCATCTATGAGTCATGCAAATCAAAGTCATCAAGTCGGTTTTGACCATTTCTTTGTTCTAAATATTATAATCTACATACTACACATAATTCCTCATTTAGCAACCAATTCGTTTAAAGGCCTAGTCAGGGGAATGGAACTCCATCATTAAATGAGGAAGGTTTGTAGTATAAAAAAATTTAAATGCTACACTAGAAAGTATTTGCACAATGAAAAAACAGTAGTGAAGCAGACTGGAAAGGAATAAGTAAACTGTCTCTATTTGCAGGTAACATGATGCTGTCATAAAAAAATTTGTAAGGACTTTAAACATATTAGAACTTTAAACACATTAGAACTAATAAATGAATTAAGCAAGGTTGCAGGATATAAGATCTTAGGAAAAAAATAATTGTATTATTATTATTTTGCACTTCTGGGGACAGGACTGAATCCCTGAACCCAGCTCCCTTGCACTGAGCCACATCTTCAGCCTACTTAATTTTATTTTCTGTTACTGACACAGGATCTTCCTAAGTCATTAAACTGCCCAGGCTGGGCTCAAACTTTTGATCCTCCTGCCCTAGCCGCCTAGAGTCCTGGGATTACAGATGTGTGTCACCACCCCCAGCTTCAATTGTATATCTATACACTTCAATGAATATCTGAATACTGAAAAACAATTGTTCATACTACCATCAAAAAATGAAATAAAATGCTTAGAGACCTAAGTTCTGTATACACCCTTGATGCATTGCCTCAGGCAAATTAATGCTGTGATGTCCCTTAAAACGCATGTGTTAAGAGGTTGCCAGCTGATAGGTTTTTGGGTGATTGAATGAACAGAGTTCTGCATCATAGGGTAGATTAATCCACAGATTAGATCATATCTGGATGGCATTATTGGGAGGAGATGGAAATAGGAGGTGGAGGTCTATGTGAAGGCAGTGTGTCATTGGGATTCGACCTTAGGGGTCATATTTTGTCCCCAGCCCTTTGCACTCTGGCTCTTTCCCTTTCTCTGTGCTTTTTGTCTAGGTGAGCACTTTCTTCGGCCACATTCTTCCACTGTGATCATTTCTGCCTTGCACAGGAATAAAAGCCAGCTAACCATAAACTTAAAACTTTTCCTCTTTTAGAATCTTGTCACAATATCGAAAAGCTAACACACCTAATTATTTAGCGCTATTACCTTGTGCTGGGATGATACAATACTTTTTTCCCTACTTCAGAGCATGTTCACCTTAAATCTGTGCATAAATACTATGAAAAACTAGAAGTCCTGCTACATAGTTCTTCAGCAAACAACCTGTAAGGTTGCTTCAGTGGGCCCTCAAGTTATGGCCAGACTGACAAACACCTTGGGTTAACTGGGTTGATGGAAGATTCGTCTACCTCTTGTCATCTGGAGTGTGTACTCAGGTAAACATCCAGATCTTATAACCAACTTGAGTTACAAACAGCCCTTGGGAACTGATCAAGTCCATAAGTCAAGGGTCCACTGTATATGTAGATATAAATTTCAAATGCAGGTAGAAATTTGATTCATTTTACACTGATTACTCAAATGACTGTTATATGGATTGACAATTTTAAATAGCAGAACTATTTACATTTAAGTATACGCATTTTTGGCATATCATCTACAAAAATATCACAACAGTGATTTTGAGATATGAGAATTTCTACTCATTTCTGTGAAAGATAGGTAGGTCTAAGAAATACATCACTCAGTCTGTAGTAAATTCCTAAGAGAGGCAAGCTAAATGTTTCTCATACTGTACTATAGATGTTTCCGAACGTGACAGTCTAATATCAACATTCCATTACATGTGATTTTTAGTGTATCTGAAGAAGTTAATACTGCTGTTTAGATCTTCCTTCAACCACTTAACAAGGTAAACAAATTCAAGGCCAAGTTTTTAGATTCTGTGCTTTACATCCCAAGCACAAAGAGGAGATGACTAATACATACTGCCCTGACCCAGAGACTGGAGGAAGACAAAACCACTGAATCTCCAAGGCAGCGTGGGTAGCCAGCCTTCCAAGAGTACTTTTAAGACCATGTTTCCTTTCTCCTTCTACAGTTGAAATAGTTGGACAGTATCAGCAAAATGATAGTTGAATACCAAAGAAACTGAAGTTCCTTTGCTGTGACTGCCACATAAACATTATCACACTAACAGAGGACAGCCCAGAATTTCTCTGCTTACTTCTAAGGTGTTGACACCATTGCCTTTGTACTTCATTTCCAAGACAACAAAGGAGGTCCTAGAAAGGTTTGTGAATACAGTATCCCCAACTATATAATGCAATCTTTTACTTCTCAACTTCGTTAACACTTCTTTAATGGTAGTACTTTAAAATTAATGAACATTCTGACAGTCTGTTTTACCACCTTAGATGAGTCTCATTTCTGTTCCCTACTGCTGCCTAGGCTAGAGCTTCACCTCTTTACACCTTGTTTTGCTCTCTTATCTAAAAGTGGATACCACCACGATTTTGGTGAGTTGTACTCAGGATCAAATGAGATGAATACAAGGTGGTGTCCTAAGAAACAGAGTATACAGTCTGTCTCTCGTGCCATGTTGTCTTGCATGGAGGTGACACCTAGCTGTGATACAGGCACTGCCTGGTGTATCCTTTCTCTTAGCAGCTGAAGCTTAGCTGGAGATACCAAGATCCCTCCAGTCACACCCTTCTCTGGAGAATGTTTAAAACTTAGCACATCTACATCCATAATGGGTCCTCAGGTCCAACTGGAAGCAGGGGCAGGAAAAGGGCAAGGTGCTAAATTATTGCATGATCAATGTGTTAGCATTTGTTCAAAGACCAGTGGTAATATAACAAAAGTTTGGCGCTGGGGCTTTAAAGTCCTCCATATGTTTTCTGCATTTCATAGCTTTTTGTTCAGCTGCATTGTTCTCCCATCCATAAAAGCCGTATCTGACACCTACAGTACTCTTTCGCACTCATCTCCTCCCTATCTCTTTCAAGTAGTAATGAGGGAATCGCAACATTTACCTAAACATCTCTATCTAATAATCCCCTGGTGGCCACAGCACCACAAGTACAGAGCACAACTGGCTTCTTGCCAGCTCTCCCTCTGTTCTTACAACCTGCCTACCATCACATCCTTGAATTATACCCCCTTCCTTTAGCATTAAGCTGGGCGGGTCAGGGCAAAGAAAGAAATGAATGTGGAGAGACTGTATCATATCTGCTCAAGCAGAAAGCAAAGCTGTGTTTCATGGGATGCATCTGTGGTATTAATGTAAATAAAGAGAACCACCACAAGAAAGGAGAAAACGAAACCATTAACAATTAATGGAAGTAGTTTTTCCCAATATGAAATACACAAATAATTTAATGTAATTTACCTAATTTTCCCCTCAAGTGTCTGACTTCAGAAAATCAAATTACAAAGTCATCATCACATCCTAGATTTATTACAACTGACCTGCAGGCAAAAGGATAGAACTATTACATAAACACTTCGATTCCATGTATATATCTTAAATAGAGGAGGAATTCAAACAAGAATACAGGATAAAATATTCCAAAGCTCCAAGAAGCAGTTTATGTTACTGAGCTCCATTTTTACAGACAAATAAGGCAATATCCCTGCACATTAGCTTTTTGATAATTTTTATACATTTTATATGGTACAAGAGAAATATAACCAGAGCTCACAATGTACAGTTCTTACACTATTTTCACAGTTTGTGAACACTATACACCTTTTTGTTTTAATAAAGATACATTGTAATAAACTCCTTGCCCTTAAGTTTATAGTTTATAATAATCTATGATTAATACACTAAAGTTGCCTTTTTATGTGGTCATCCACAAATAGAACGGTCAGATTAGCTCCTGGACAGTCAGAATTGCTTTAAATCTCCATTTGCATAATGGCAAAGTGACCCTATGCTGAGCCAGATGGGAAGCTGACAGCAGAGAAACAAATTCCTCTTGAGTCCCCGGGAGCAATGGAGGATGATGGCTTGGTGTGGTCGAAAAAAAGACATATATAGCAATGCCTTCTTTCACAACACTGGGGAGTCTAAGGTATAGGATTCCGTGGAAGGAAAACAGGGAAATTAGGCAAGTGGACCAAAGAAATAAATCATTTTTTAATTCTTTAATTTACAGGGATGTAACTTTGAACAGCACCATTCTCCCTTTATTGTTGTATAGTATTTATGACTGGCACTCTGGGAGGAGACAGCAATACCTGCTACGATTTGGTTCTGTAATGGCATCACCTTCATCTCAGACCATGGCTGTTTTGAATTCCAGTGTGCTTGAACCACTCCCGGTGCTGTTTAACTGTTCTATAAAGCCTAATGTTCAGTGTCACAGAGGCTGGAGCAAAACCTAGTGAGAGCCTGGCTAATGGGTAAGCAAAGGCAAACAGCAAAAGGTAATGGATTTAAATGGCCTCTAAGGGTTCTGGGTTTTTGTTTTGCTTTTTTGTTTGCTCTGTGGCAGAATTCCAATTCTAAGAAATGATGGTGAACTGCCAGATTCTAGTAGGGGATGCATGTACCTAAAAGACTGCCATTTCTGATCCTCCTCTGATCAATAGTGTCTCCAGAAACGATGCCTCTTCATCACCTACCACATCAGCCGGGCCCTTTCCTCAGCCTTTTAAACATTAGAGCTTATGAAAGATTTGGGGCTAAAAATCTTTGGTAAGGAACATCCCTGGTAAAGGTTTTTGCTACAGAAAAAAATAGGCAAAATATTGAATTAAGTCATATAGTGCTAACAGATCACAGAGAAAGGGGAAAAAAAGATTCAGAAACTGAAGGACTGGACCAGTGATGGCAAGAAGCAAACAATTGCGATTTGGTCTCCTGCTGCCTACAAGAAAACTTTATCTAATCAGTCAAGGCACATTGCTACCAGCTACTTCTCCCTGTTAGTGAGTTAGGATGGCTAAAGTATCAGGCTTGGGGCCAAGGGGAAATATATAGCTGCTACAAGTTGTTCTGCATAAGATACTAGAATTAAAAACATCTGTAAACTTTGCCTTCTGTACTTTTTTCTTCTTTCAGTCCTGGTGGTTTGTGGCAGGTGGAACATCAAGTTGGCAGCACACCAAATTTTGAGAATGAAAATTCTTAGGATCAGCACCTTCTTGACAAGTGGCAGACTCCTGAGACTTCCAATGAAGAGTAGAAGGACTGGTAAAGGAGAAAAGAACACATTCTGTCCTGTCTCAATATTTTAATGTTCACCTCTTTGAATGCAACATGGTTTTTGGTAAAGATAAATTCACTCTAATTTAACATGATATTTCAAACAGGAAATTTGGCTGAGCACATCGATCCCCAAACATCGACTGTGACTGTAAAGCAACAGAATATCAAATCAGTAAATCTATTGCACTTGGTGAAGAAAGTAAATTCCTCCTTTGTCTCCCAGCTCCAGAAGGCAATATGTCTCACTGGCTGTGCAAGCTTTTCTCACTCAAGCCCGAGTCTCTACGTTCAGACATAGTACATCCATCACTGCATTCTTCCAGGATTGGAAGTCTGACAAAACGCCATTCCAGTAGCTGCGTCTCTAGGTTTCAAGTCTAGAAATGAATTTAAGATGTGATCTAATCACAGTCAACAATTTGATCATACTGACTTCCACATGTCATGAATATGTTCATCACGAAAGAGCAGGATGTGGTCTCTGACCAGCACTAACACTGTGTGATCAATCAGGTATTACAGGGATGCACGTTCTAGGTGACAGGAGTATACAGACATGATGGAAATGAACACCAATCTTATTGCACATGGTGTCTGGGCGAGCAATAAAAACACTGTGATACAGGATGAAAATTCTTTACGTCTTGCTTCCTCTCAGCCCTTTTTTTCTAGAGTCTGATGTAGCAGCAGTATCAATCAACATACATGGGAGAGCTGGGAGTAGCTGGCATTTGATCCAGGATTTTACAAACATAGCATGCAACCTCAACAGTACGTTCTTCATACATCAAAATAAAGGGATGTTTCTGCAAGAAAATTAGAACAAAAGAAAAACATCAAAAGTTGTATCAGAGCCCAAACTGAACCTTTCTCAAATTTTATACATCACTGGAACTACAGACTATAGTATGGCTGGAAGCTATTATCGGAGAGGCAATTACAGCCTTTACACAGATATGTCAGTGGGTGTAGGCATGCCTAGATACGATACACAGTGCTTTGATTTGGAGGCACTACCCTGACAGTAAGATCTGGGAACTTATCTGTATACCAGGGAATATTTGTTGAGGCAGAGAGTGGAGTGTTTGTTTCTCAGCACAAAATACATCTTGAACTTCTACCATGCCATTTGAGAGCCAAGAAGAACTACATGAAAACCAGACTTTATCCTCATAGAACACAGGCAAAAATCTCAATCTTTTATGTCCCACATATGCAGCAGAAAGCTTTTTAAAAAGGTTTTCAGTTTCAATCCTTCTGATCTTCATTCTAAAAGAGGCCCATTATCTACTTCACTAACCATTTGTACTCCATTGCTATCAATATTTTTTCTCTATAGCTTATGTTAAGTACACAGGCTGGATATCTTTACAATCATTTGCGGCTTGACTATAAGTCTTATGCAACATCCTTGGTTAGCTAGAAACCAACTGTGACAAACAAGTTGTACCTCTTACCAAAATATTCTCACATTATTGCATCACACACAGTACTTGTTTCTTTGCCTCGAGCAATACGACACCCACTAGACAGCCTAAGGCATCCAAGTCCCACACAATAAAGGAAAACTTCCAAAGAAATGTCAATTGGTCCTGTGGTATAAATTTGTATGTGAGCATTTAATAGAAGCAGAGTAAGTGTAGTGAAGCAGTGAATAAAATTTTTAATAATTTCTTTCTTAGGGATAAGTTATATATATTTGCAATGGAAAAATGGTTCCTTTCAGCGAAAGTTGGAATTCTTTGGGTACAATTTTATGCTAAGATAAAAATTTTCCATGACAATTTAGCTAGTAAATCAACAGAAAAACTGTAATTTTTCTTTCCAAATATCTTCATTTTAAAACACTCAATAAAGGTAAGTTGTTTGAAAAAGAGGCCTTTTGGCCAGGCACGGTGGCGCACGCCTGTAATCCCAGCACTTGGGAAGCTGAGGCAGGAGGATCGCTGTGAGTTCAAGACCAGCCTGGGCTACATAGTGAGTTCCAGGTCAGTCTCAACTACATAGTGAGACCCTGTCTCAAAA